AGGGAATTCTCAATTAGGTGAAGCACATTAAATTCTATGATTCTATGATTTTGATAAAGAAAAGCATAGTCCTATTTATTTTGCAGGGAAGATGGATTTGAAAGTGAAAAGAAAATTGTGGCAAAAGGGAGTCAATAGAAATTCTCATTTCCTGGGACAAGGGTGAAACTAAAGCAGTTTGATTTCCCTGTACATTTGCAGCAACATTTGACAGTATCGGTTCTCTTGCTGAAGCCAAGATGATCCCCAAGCCCCTAGGAGCAGAGTCCAAGGCTCACAGGTCACTGCTACTTGTCTTCCATGGTTACCAGAGAACCAGCAGCAATTTTGGTGTTGCCCTGATGTGGCTGCAGAACTTCCAGTTGCTGCATGACTGACATAGAAAGACAATTTTAAAGCTAAGATTTATGTGAAATAGAGATCCGGATGTGCTCTTGAGCTTGTCTCCACAATTTAAACTCCCCCATGGGACGTATAGTTTCAAGTGAAGGATTAAGCAAGTGATTACATTTATTATGTCAATTTTGCTCACAAAAAAGTTCCTACATGACATATTCCTTGGTTCCTCATTGCATTCAAGGTCTCATTCACTGCACAGTACTTGAAGCCTGCAACCAGTAAGAGATGTTTTACTCTTCTTCAAAGGCTTTAATTAACATCAGAGCAGTGTACCTGGAGTACAGCCCTGTGTCAGTGCTTGTGAATGACACGGTACTGAAGCAATGACCAACTGTGACTTCCTTACTTCAACCCACCCTTCCACTCCCCAGCCTGGACTTCCTATTTCTGTCCTGTATAGACACAAGCCAATAGAAGGTCTCTTAAGGAAGAAAACAGGTCTTGCTACTCACCATCCTGATTCAAAATCAAATATTTGTTCCCTCACATTTTCTCTCTTTAAAATATAAGTACAGCAACCTGCAAACTAAAGAAATAGATATCAAATATAAATATGATCATTAGACCAATTATATGCATTCTTTCTTCACAGCTGATTCCCCAGAAAAGCAGGCTATTAGACAGGGGATATTTTATTAGCAGATATTTTAACAAAAGGTTTTCTTTTTACTCTGAGAAAATGTTAATGCTGTCCATGACTGGGGTTAAATCTCATGAAAGACCACAGCATGATAGCATTACCATTTTCAGGTAGTTGGTGTTCTTCAAGAAATGTCCACTGCCAACTCTTCCCATCAAATGCCTCTATGCAGCTGAGTTCCTATGTCTCAATTCCTTAAAAACTAGTAAAATAAATGTAGCAAGTTCACTGGCTTCAAATATAACAAAGTATTGCACTAAACTGAGCAGCATAGCCCTAGATAAGTTATCAAAGAGCAATAAGAGATTACTTCTTGCCAGAGGTTAAAATAGAAAGGGGAGCTCATTCTGGCTGCTGTCATAAACAGACTTAATGTCTGCTGATGATTGATTGTTTTCATCACTTGCACGTGTTCAATTTCCCAGGGAAGAGCTTCACTTCCTTGTTAAGAAAAAATAACTCTCTCTTGACATTTAATTCCTTCTGTTATGAAATAAGTCAGACTATATCCCAATTGCCTTTTCTATCACCAAAATCCATGATAACATGAAATACACAATATTTCTTTGGAAAAAAAATGCTCAGTTGGTCATGTGTGTCAGCTGGTACTGACTCAGTTCAACCTCCCTAATGCCACCACATAGCTTTACCCTTAGTACAGAGCTCCCTTTTTTGGATAAAACCAGTAAATAAAAGGAAAGGCTCGAAAGTTTTAACTCTTTTTCAAACAAGGAACAACTTGAATGTGAGAAGCCATGGAGCTACTACTGAGACGTGCAACAAAGAAGAAGGCTTCAGTTCCTGCCTTTTCCCCTGTCGTCATAGAATCATGGAATGGTTTGGGTTAGAAGGGACCTCAAAGATCATCTAGTTCCAATGTTCCTGCTGTGGATAGGGACACCTTCTACTAGATCAGGTTGCTCCAAGCCCTGTCCAACCTGACCTTGAACATTTCCAAGGTTGAGGTATTCACTTCTCTGAATGATGTGCTCCAATGTCTCACTACTTTCATCATAAAAAAAAAAAAACCTCTTCCTTATTTATTGCACATCAGAATCTGGGCAGTGTCATGTATGTTGGCCTAAGTGACCCTGTCCTCCCCTTTATTCACTGTGCAGTATGGGATTTTCCGAGACTCTCCCCTGCCTGGAGTTAATAATTGCTTCTTTACACCCAAAAAGAAATTTAGTGAAGAGAAGCAGCCAAGGAGGGGACTTGCAGTCTCTTGTCCATCTACCCACCCCTAATCCCTGCAGTGTCCTATAGTGTTCAGTGTAGAAAATAACAGCGTGTACTTTCTTGTCTCTTTTTAAACTGACCTACGGTGGTCTCTTTTAGCTACCTCCAATGGACAAGGGTAGGCAGGACAGTGCACTCACATCTAGCATCCATACCCAGCCAGAGCTTTGCCATACCCTCTTTGGTATTTTATATAACCCCGTAGCTCTGTTACATAGCTATAGTCGCAGGCGTATGTCAAAGCACAGCCCCAAACAGACAGCCAAGCTAGTCCCACCCTGCAGTACAGATAAAGTTCAGAAAACCTTCGGTCAAAAAGAGAAAGGAAGCATTACTCTAACCCACCTGCTACAAGAGTGCTCTTGGTAGACAATTTCAGCATTTTACGCACCAACAATCAGTGGTGAATTAGAGAAATGGCCGTGAGTTCAGAGTTGGGATCTCCCTGCTGTTCTGTGGCTGCTGTGAGCACTGCTTCCATTTGCTCTCATGCTTGTCCAAGAAACATTCAGGACTCTTTTCTAGCAGTGCCATCAGTTCATACAGGTTAGGTAGGGAGTACTCATAGTACCTCATGATCCATACCCCCAAAAACCACAGATGTTTCCCCCTGCACATGTGGCTCTGAATTCCTCTCTGGCAGAACAAGTACTTGAATCTACATTCCCACTTCACAAAGTGTTGGCACCACCACCTTGGTGGCAAGAAATAAGTGAACACTACCTTCTATTACTGGTTCTTTTACTACTACTGTCCTCTGTGAGAATCCTGGTGCTTTTCAAGGCATCCTCCAGCTACATCCCGCCCAAAGGAAGACTTGCCTTCTGTAGCCCATGGAAGCTGAGATGCAAGCTAGCACCAAGTCCCGCAGAAGTTTGTGCTTCCACCTCTTTATGCACATACCTTTGGGGAAGCAGGGAATGTTTAATCTCATGCAGACTTCAGCTAGCAGACCTCACAGTAGCTTTGGTATTGTAGTTCATTCAGAAAGTCCCTTCCATGGGGATTCACCCATATCCCCGTGGGGCAACTCTCCTGCTCCTCCCCAAGCCACTGCTCCCACCCAGTGGCCAGAGCTCTGCAGGTTCCCCGGGCTCTGCTGCAAATTCGCCTTCCTGTCAGTCCCACACCCACTTGTTACAGACCCTGTAAAGGTCAGGGCAGGGAAATTCCCACTCCAGACTTTTCAGCCCAGCTATGTACCTTTCAAAATGTTTCTTACACTGCACACTAGGAAAGCTGAGTTGCCTTCCCCTCGGAAAAAAAAAAAAACAACCCACCACAAAAGGTCTGAAACAAGAAATTCCAAATAAGGTTAAAAAATTTCCTAAGAGGAAGCAGCATTCTCACCTTCCTCTGCAGGTGGAATACAGGAAGAATTCTGGATTCAGAAAATACAGATAAGACATAGGAGACTGTGTGAGTTGTAGTATAACTGCCTGAAGATTCAAAACAGACCTCCTGGACTGGATCCCACTGGCAAAATTTCACTACAGCCTTGGGTTAATCAGAGATGGCAGGTATCACTTTAAAAAAAAACCCAAACCCCACTACAAACAGTAAATTTTTGTGTTTCTCAAGACAAGAACCAATGCCTGCTTTTTCAGTGCCACTGGAGCAACAAGTTCAAAGCCAAAGTACACTCTGGAAAGTTAGGTTTAATGAAAACATATGTAAATGTGTGTGTGTACTTCTAAGGTAAACCTTGAATCCTTACCTGAATGTATTGCACTGAACTGCTGCCCTGCTCTTACAAAACTCTAGTGTCAACTGGTTAGAAAGCAAGATGCAATTAATGCTAAAAATAGTAATTGGAAAAAAAATCAGAGAAAATACTAGCTCTACAAAAAGTAGTAAAAATCTCCTCTGCTATAATGAGAATAGCTCTAATGAGTTCGGGATGAAAATATACAATGTCAAAATGTCATCTAACAAAAACCCCTTGTGAAATTTAATTGAAGTCACCATATTTAAATATCAAAGAAAGAGCAATGAATTTTACTACATCAGTGATGCAAATGGTGAACTGCATTCCTGGTACTACTCAGGAAACATGAGACATTGCAACAAGTTGCCCAGGGATGCGGCAGCTGCCCTGACCCTGGCTGTGTTCAAGGCCAGGCTGGATGAGGCCCTGTGCAACCTGATTTAGTGAGGAGGTGTCCCTGCCCATGGCAGGGGGGGTTGGGACTAGATGATCTGTAAGGTCCATTCCAACCCTGAAATTCTATGATTCTAGTATTTAATTGCACTTGTGCAGCAGGAAGAAATCATTACACTTTTCAGCTTTTACATTCTGCTCTTTCTGTATTGGCAAATCAATGGCAATTACACCATTCTCAGTACTGAGTGGAGACTTTGGAACCAGAAACACAAAAACATCTAACCTCACTTCTGACAGGAAAGGAGAATTAGTAAAATTATACTATTTGTAGTCCTTAAAGGGTATCTTTTTAAGATGTCTCAACTTTCTCTTCCAGTAGGCAACAACATATGGACACATAAAATTACTGGTGTCAGAATAAGGATGGGGCAACTTGAAAGATAAGTTATTGCAGAGAAAACATTATCTTCCCTGTTTTCTTTAGAGAAATCCTTATAAAGTGGACTAAAATGTCTCATATTTACCTGTCTCTTTATACCTATCTGTGATTTTGGTTCACATAATTCTAATAACCCAGAACATTCTTATATGAGGCACAAATAAGTCATGTAAAAATACCTATTTTATTATGTACATTTAGAGGTTCAAGTTAATTTAAACTGATACAGTTTTTTCTTCTTCAGTTCCATCTTTTGCCTCAAGATGCTCGGCTGCTGCTTCCAAATACTTTTCTTCAGTGACCTGCAGAAACATAACAATTTTGTTTTATTTTTTAGATTATTTCATTCTCCTTGATTCTGAAAACCCTCCTCTCATACTGTCACTGTGACAAGAAAGGACAGCCTACAAAGACAATTATTTTCTTCAAAATTAAACAAATCTGAAGAATATTCAAACTAAGTTCATAGAAAATACCATGGGCTAAGCCACACAAATAAGTAGATATTGGACCTGAAGGCTCTAAAACATGTGCTGTTTAATTCTTACAAAGATTTCCTATGTTTACACATCCTTGCTAGTGTGTCTCTGGTTATATGCAGCTTATGGTATTTTACAGTTCCATTTACCTTAAAAACTTGCCTTTTGCATTTACTGAATCATCATAAAATTTCCCTTGGGCAAGTGCATTCCAGCTTTGACACACGGGTTCTTTAACGGAACACTATTTGGATGAAACTCATTTCCCATGTGGTTTTAAACAGGAATACCCAAAGTAGTGTATTCATGCAGTTTAGTGAAACAGCATTCCCTTTTATCTCCACTAACTTCCACCAAAGTTCAAGGCCAGGCTGGACGGGCTTGGAGCAAACCGGTCTAGTTGAAAATGCCTCTGTCTGTGACAGGGGCTTGGAATTAGATGATCTTTAAGGTTCCTTCCAACCCAAACCATTCTGTGATGCTATGACTCAGTGGTATCAGATTTTATCCCTGCATTTACTTATAAGAAACACGTTGACATGTGTTCTCTGAAACCTGTGGCAGAAAACTTATTACCTAAAATCTAGGTGAGTGTTCGTGATTGAAACAGGAAAAAATAATTTTTAATTTTACACGTGTGACACCAACATTAGTTCTAGAGATGAATTTGATAGTTTGAAGTGGTAACTAATGACAGCTTAACAATATTATTACAAAAACACATGGGATTCTCAGCAGACAGCTTCAGAACCATGGATGTAAAGCCTAATATAATTTGCTCCATTATTTTAATTGTACAAATTACACCAATCCAATAGTGTATGTTTTTTTAATGGCACAATGCATTTAATAACCAAACTTCAGAAACAATACTATCAAGTTCTCTACTCCACAAGGAGTTAGAATTTGTGTTTATGCCATTTTTCTTTGCCTGTGAACATTTCCATTCCTAAAGATGTTCTTGACTATATTACTCAACTATAATCATTCAAATTCTCCTCTATCACAGCCATACCTTTGTAGCTGGTAAGCTGCACTTCACCACTAAAAACTTACCAGCCTCTTCGACCTCTCCAGCAGTTTGTGCCACACAATGTGGTGAGCCTATGAGAGATGTCATTAAATGATGTTAGTGGAGGTAAAAAAAGTCTTATCATAGAATAGATTATAACAAATGTATAGAAATGATGGCACAAAACCATAATAATGGTTACAGATGTTACAACTTATGGTTTCAGTGCCTGATTTGCCCATATTCTTTCAGGGGACTTGTGTACATGCCCCAATCCCTGGAATTGTTCAAGGCCAGGTGGGATGGAGCTCTGAGCAACCTGGTGTAGTGGAAGGTGTTCCTGCTCATGGCAAGGGGGGTGAAACTAGATGATCTTTAAGGTTCCTTCCAACCCAAACCGTTCTGGGAGTTTGATTCATTCACTGTATGGAATCACTGAGGGGTTAACGGGCAAAAATGGGTATTATGGTGAGGAAGGGAATACAGAGATGAGCTGAGGAACCCGTGAAAACTTCCCCAACTGAGACAACAGCAAATGTACTAGACCATGGGTCAAAATCCTGTAAGTCAATAGGAATGGGAAGAAATACTCCTATCTCCATCTAGAGTTCTGCAAAGCCTTTGTTTATGACTGCTTAGTACCTGGACTATTTTTGTTAGCATTGTTCAGTTTTACTTTGGTGGCACTAAAGACTTTGAATATACCCTTTATCAGGAGCGTAAATTCCAAGTTCTGCTCTTTCCTGAAGCTGAATAAACACAGCCACACAGTGACAGTGTAGTGCAGTGAAAGGGCCATCTCTTTCTGCTACTGCTCTCACCTTTGAATTACGTTTAGCTACCAGCACAGATGAAGATTGCAAAGTAAGCCAAATGCTCTAACTTAAAGTAGGAAAACCTGCACCAAATGGATTAATTACCTTCAAATGGATTGGCAGGGACACACCCTGGAACCTTTTTATCAATTCTGATTGCTCAGTCTGAAGATTATGGGCTGCTGTTATCGCATACTGGAAACAGAAACCTGTCCTTGGTATACAAGGTCCTTCACTAACATCTACGAAGTCACCAAACCTGATGGGATGAAAAAAACCAACTTATGTCAAATATATTTGGAGAGAAGTACAACCATATTAGGTTTTACTTTTGATTAGCAAATTCCTACCTACAGAAAGAAAATCCTACGTCAAATATAACCAAATACCCAGTTCTGCATTTCTAGGTTTCCTAAACAAGTCACACAATTTCCTAAAATGAACTCAGGAAATTTAAACCTCAAGGCTAGGAAAAGGATCCTAGGTTTAACAAATCTTTGATGCCATGTTGGCTTTAAAACTGTGTCATTCATCTGTGTCATTCATCAGAAAAGGACTTGTCTCCAAGATCACATATTTTCCACAGTACAGGTATTTCCCTTTCAGGTCTCGGAAAACTACAAATCCATTTAAAGTGAGATACAAAAAGATGTACAGCAAAAGCAATACCCAAAACAAAACACTCTTCAGAAACAAACAGGCAAGCCCATGTTCCTTATTAATGTTCTTTCCTTCCCACTCTAGTTTGCTCAGACAAAACACTAAAATTCCAAGAACCGTCACTGCAATGACATCTGTTCCTTTAGAGATATGTGGATTCCAAAATCAAATGCAGAAAAATTTAGACATCTAGAAAACTGAATATCCTACATGGCTTAAGCTAGAGAGAAATTCTTTAAATTGCCTGAGTTACAAGTTTCCTGCCTCTAGTCTAAGACCTTTATACTTTCCACTGTATACCAGAAGGCTGTTCCATTCCAATCTCCACCACTATAAGGCAGCAGCTTGCCTTAGGAAGTCAGGAAGATCTTGACAACTTTGGAAGAAAAATCCACTCTACAATGCAAATTCTTGTTTTCAAACAACTATTTGGTTTGTACTTTATTAAACCTGTCAAACTCTAGAGATTCACTTAGATTTCATGTAAAAGCATTTACAGCAGTAAGACTTTTCTGTCACTTACCACTGTAAACATAAAAAGAAATAGAAATGTAGTGAGATCCACCAAGTCTTAAGTATCACAAAACAGTGTCTGTATAGAGGGGAAAAACCCAACAAACCACCCCAAACAACTTAGGACAGACAACAGACAGCAATGAATACAAGTGATTTTTAAATTTGAAGCCATCACAAGTTAACTTACTCTTCTCATTTGCAGAGAACACTTGCAATATAATCAAATCTTTTGATCATTAAATCATTATAGCATGAGAGTTCAGTTTTGCTCACCTGTGTAATGTTACAATTCCTTCCACATTTTGAGAAGCTTTTCTTTCTATCATCTCCACTTTGTACCTGAACAAGACAAAAAAGATGCAAAAAATCCTCACCTTTAACAGCTAGTTCTTGTAAGAACCCTTCAGAGATCCATTTAAGGAGCATTCTTAAAAATCATGTTTGTATTGATGTCAGCTTTGAAACGGGTTTAAACTCTTAATGAGCACTGACTTGTTTCTTGACATACCTGTTAGTTTTAGTTTCTGGGAAAATTACAGAGGAAATTATACTAAGGACTACTGAAAGACATATGAAGAACATCAGGCATAGTTAACATGGGATCCTGAGACAGGATGTGTGGGAATAGCTTAAAGCTCTGCCAGGGGAGGTTCAGACTGGACATTAGGAAGCATTTCTTTAGCAGATGGTGTTCAAACACTGGAACACACTTCCTGGAGAAGAATGCCTCAAGCCTATCAGTGTTTAAGAGGCTTCTGGGCAATGCCCTTAATAACTTGCTGTAAGTTGTAGCCCCAAATTGGGCAGGCAGCTGGACCAGGTGCTTGTTGTAGGTCCCCTCCTAGTGAAATTGTCCATTCCAGTTTATTCCATGCACATGTTATAGGAAGCTCATGCTCCCTCATCAGAATTTTATTCAGAAAGATACAATGAACCTACTACTATAAATAAAAATCAGAGGGTTTCAAGTCACATATAAGACTAAACAACACCACCAGACCACCTAAACTGATTTTATGCAATGTGTAGCCCTCAACAGCTGGTCACCTGCAAGAGTGGAAAGGGTCGTCTGTGCTTTTCACACACACAATGTCTAAAGCTACAACCAAAACTCAGCTCCCACCTGCTGTCAACGCAGCCAACGCAGTCAAGAGATGTTGTCCTTACGTCACATTAGTATCTTCAGCATTAAGCTAAAAAAAAGCTATTTTTGCAACTTTAGCATAGTTTTATTTTGGTTCACAATGCAATAATTAGCTATCATTTCACTCCCACATCTCTCCAGCTACCAAAAAGCTGTGGAGCAGCACATTTTTGCTCAAAACATTGCTAAAGTGTTTTTCAGCGAAGACTGGAGTGTTTTGAATAAGCCTCCTTTTATAGCACAGGCCAGAGTGTTTTAACCATTTTCTCCATGCAGTGCTCAAAAACTACACTTCACCAAATCTTCATTGAAAAAAGCAAGATATGAAAAATCTACATTCCTTTAACTACGAAAGTCTTTCAGCAAAGGCTGAGAGTACCTACCACACCAAGGCTAATCACCAGAGCTTCAGTTTTAAAGTAGTGAAATCTTGAAGCTCACTAGTGAACAAAAGTCTTAGTCTTTCAGTTTGTCACAAAACTACATCCAGTGAAGGTGCCTAGTGTTTGCCTCTGGAGAGAATGGAGTCAGGCTCATTCAGAGCAGTGGGACAAGCACCTGCTTACCCCACCTGTCACACCTGATTTTAAATTTACAAAATAAGCACAGCTTTGAAATGCTTTCTAATTGTCTTTTTCAAAGAAAGGCAAATTCAGACACTTGCCTGTTATGCTGAAACATTTCATGTGCTACTTTTGCCTCAACTTGCAGTGTTTCAAAGGGCAGGTCTTGGTGGATTAGCTTCACGGCATCTCTTGTAAGAGAACGGAAGTTATCCTAAAAGACAGGACATATAAAACTGTTACCACTGTTTCACAGCTGCAATGAACAGATAACACTTAACAGCAAACACTAAATATTAGTCAAAATAACAAGGATCACCCACTATCAACTCTGAATATAAGAATATTGCTGTAGTACTGTAACTCTTACTGTATCAGCACCAGATCACTAGAGATCAACACTTTAAATGGACTGACTCAGTGCCCAGTCCAATTGACAGGCATTTTTCCATCGAAAACAACACAGTGCCCAGTCCAATCGACAGGCATTTTTCCATCGAAAACAACACATATTTAGAGTTAAACTTCTCAAACTGATAGGCATTTTTCCATTAGAAACAACATATATTAATTAAACTTCTCAGGTTCTCCCTACATGATATATATACATACAGTCTTGCTGTTGTTATATTTGTCTGTATATCTTGTTTCCCAGAGTTGTGACTTCACTTCTACTGTGATGAATCAAAGTGAAAAAAAAAAGTACAGAATATCCAACAACTAGAAATTGGTCACCTTGGTCCAGAATCCAAAGTTCTGCATAACTCAGACTTATTGATAATCAAGAAATTGTTATGAGGAGAAATTACATTTATAATGTCACGCAGAAAATATTTCCAACTGAGTTACTTCAACTACAAGATCATACTGAAGAAAAATCTGCGTTGTACCAATTTTGCTTTGTCAGCCACTCACACCTCTGCTGGTGTTTGGGCACGAGAACAAGAATGGGCACCAGAGAAGTGAAACATTTGTGATCACAAATGGTTCTGAGACTTAGACAGTTCGATTATTACATTTACTGCAGAGCACGAAATATAAGCAAGCAGTTAAGGAGAGCTTCAGCTGAACATGCTCACGTTATTCAACAACATGCTGATTCTGCTGTAAACCACCAGCTGAAAATGTGCATTACACACAATTTTATTTTCAGAGGCGTCTGCTCACACAAAGACTATGGTTGCATCTATGTTATCAGGCTGAGGAGAAGCAGATCTGTATAGTAACAAAGCTGACACTGAGGTCCACACAGTCACATCAACTGTTTCTGGAATTGTATTTCAGACTAGAACTTACTCTAGTCCCACAGACCTAACATCTGTAAGCATCTGGAGGACAGCTCAGGGTTTAGTTTTATCTGAAAGGAACTCTGAGAGCAGCCTGCAATAGGACCAGTGTGTGGTAAGTGCAGAGATAAGCTCCCAAAGAGAACTCCTGATGTGTAGATACACCTCACAAACAGGAAAATAACCCCTTTGCCCCCTCTCCCCCATATGAAAAAGAAACCGTGGACAAGGACATAGAGTATACAACTTTCAGGGTAAGAAGTTGTTTTGCTTACATCTGTTGGTTTCCAATCATTCAGTCTATTGTCCAGAAGTACGTCACAACAGAAAGCTCCAGAGATCACTGCAATTGCAATACAGAGAGAAAAATATTCATGTTTGTAACAAAGTATGTATTTCACAGACATATACATTCCTATAGCAAAATGAATGACAAGAAAACCAGATCTATCTCAAGAAAATAATCATAAAACAAAAATTTGCAGCTGTGATTATATGGTCAAATAACAGATTAAACCTGTGTCATTTTAATTTAATTTCACTAAATGAGAAGGTAATTTGAAATAAGTTTTAATGCAATGTTAGTAAAATACAACCCTGTTAAAGAGGGGGAAAATATCCTGCTTCACAAAACTAACACTGGAGAACAAAACCAAACGCACTCACTTTGAAAACACTTTTCTTTTGTATGCATCATACATTAAAAGTTTTAACTAATAAATTGTAAAGAGGAACTTACTGCATAGAGAAATCAGTCAACATCAGAGCTGAAGTAAAATGTTTATCCATGACACAAGCATGGCACAAATTACTGATGAAGACAACACAAATTCCTGTGACAGCTATTAGAACACTTTGGGTATATTTATTCAGTTATTGCCATTTAGAAAATCAGATCTATGAACCCACAAAGCTCATGCTATTTCTGTACATACAGTATAATGATATAGCTCAGTATATCCAAAATTGTACCAAATACTGGCAAAACTGAAATATCCACTCATACTTACAAGAGAAATGCTGAGATTAATAAAAACAGTTGCAGGAGGACTTCACATGACCAGCAACCAACCTTTTAATAAATCAAACCACCTCTCCTGTGCATGTTCTCGCTTTTGTACATCTTAAATCATATCACAGATGAGCAGGTGTTACTAATCCTGGTTATACTTCAATAATCTTCCAGCTCAGTGCAGACACTGTCACTTTTAGTCACTCAAGTGCTCACAAGATTATGCAGGTATTAGAGCAAATTTCACAGAAACACATCACATCTAGAAATCTCACTCATGTCACCTCATGATACACAGGTTGAGTTACTAACTTCAGCTATGAAATCCTAAGTGGACTGAAGCCCAGCAGCCACACAGGCCAATTATCGGTACATTAATAACAAAATTGGTTTTAGTGTGATTATTAAAGGCAACAACAACAGCATGGAATGCACATAGCAGAATGAAGTGTTATCAATCATTGGAAAAGGAACCTCTGGTTTTTTGGTAACTTTCGTTACGGAACACTAATTCAAGAAGCAAGAAGAAACAATCAACATAAAACACTTGTATCATACCTGGCACTTCTGGAGCTCTAACCAGGGTGACTGAGTACTCATCCTTGAACGCCCTCTTTAGCACACATGCCATGATCATGGCACAGGAACGCCAATAGGCCTGTGAAGAGATGTTCAAAATGTGAATTTATTACCTAGAAGCTAACAAGACATAGCAGCTGACCACCAGCTAACTATTCCAAATTTAACTGAATGATGCACAAACCTAGCTGTCAACCCAAGCATTCTATCCCTGGAAGTGCTCAAGGCCAGGCTGGATGCAGCTCTGAGCAAGCCGGTTGAGTGGAAGGTGCCCCTGCCCCTGGCAAGGCATTAGAACTAGATGATCCTTAAGGCTCCTTCCAACCCAAACCATTCCGGGATTCTATGATTCCTTTCTTTAGCATTTAAACTTCTATTTAGAGATGATTCTCCATACAGAATCAAAATAAAAATAAATCCAAACTGCACTTAGAAAGCAAGCCATATGTTTCGATGGAGAGATTTAAATCTGAAATCATAGAACAATAGAACAATATAGACTGAAAGGGATGCTAGCACATCACCTGGTCCAGCTAATGATAACCATGATGCACCATTAAAAAGCCACTAAAAATATCTGAACTTCCATGGCAACAGAGTTCAAGAAAGCAGACAGACATGGAACTGAAAGGGACATACAGAATCAAGTGGTAACAATCAGGGTCACCTGTAATGAGGAAAGATACAATTGGGGTCATCTACAATGGAATAAGGTACTGATTTACCTTGTTTACTTCCTCTGGATCTTCATCTTTGAAGGTAAGGAACTGAATTTCACATGATTTGGTCAAGGGCCTGTACATATCCCACACTTCCCCATCCACAAGAGCCAGAACTGATTTCTTGCAATGCCATTCACTTAAATCTAAATAAAGTAAAAAAAACCCACAAAAACAAACAAAGCATTAGACAGCTATTAACACTCAGGATCAGCAGTTCAGACCCCTCCCTGCATTTGCAACAGCAAGCTGCAACTTCTACTTTTGCAAATTACTTGGAAGGATGAGCCTCCAAAAACTAACTCAGTTTTACTTCACTTGGCAGCACAACATTCATCATCAGGGCACAGTGTTAGTTTGAGTCTTACGCATGGCACAGTTGTACGGCGTGGACAGAGCTTTGTTCATCACAAACACAGTGCCAGGGTGTGACTTCCCAGTGTATTTCACTTCTATTTTCTCAATCCGTGGGTGGAGAGACAACTGTCTCTCCTTCTCTTTGGTGAAGAGCTCATTGCGCATCCGAACCACCTCCTCAGGGGTCAGCCGGTAGGCAGCCGGGCTGCAGATGAACCCTGGAAAGAGGAGAGATCTGGAGTAAGCAATCAGGAGTTTTCCAAGCCTCTTTATAAGGTGTTGGTTTCTAAAAATGGAAAACTGCACTGCAAATCAGACTCAATAGGCACAGTGCTATTCAGAGAGCTTCAGCAGCTCTAGGAAGTGACCACACTCAATCCCTGCAGTGCCTGCACCAGGTCACAACAGAACACTCTGCAGCAACAGAAGGTTGAAACTGATTCATAGGAAATTCCCCCTGAACACAAGGAAGGATTTATTTGCTGTGCAGTGACCGCGCACTGGAACAGACTGCCCAGAGAGGTCACGGATTCTCCCTCACTGGAGATACTCCGGATCATGTGCTCTAGAACGGCACTGCTTGAGCAGAGAGGTTGGACCCGATGACCCACCGTGGTCCCTCCTAACCTGACCCATCCTGCGACTGTCACGCCGCTCCACGGCCGCACAGGCGCTTCCCTCGGGCAGGTCACGGCCCCAGCGCCCACCCCGCGGC